GCATTTAACTATTTATCACAGACAAACAGACATAACACTCGCAAATTGTTAATCGAACATGCATTTAATACCCACCACAGTGTACTCAACAGATGGCGGTAATGTTTCAGCTACGATGTTTTACAGTGAGAAATATTCAATGTGTTATGTCTGTTTGTCTGTGTATTTATTATCCGATAGGTTTACTGGATTCTGCGTTAGCATTCTGTTGGATAGCCGGCTTACCTCCTTCGATGTGTGGTGGCAATGGAGCATCCGTGCCGACTCCAACACTGCTTGGGGACTCTGTTGTTGTTGGTGTTTCCTTTGGGGTGAAACGGGGTGTGGAATTCCAGGGACACTCGCGAATTGGCCAAACACTAGTCTACAGAAACTACATTTATTCCACAATTAACAATTTACTTTTCACAAACAAACTTAATGCTAACAATTTGTATATTCTTCGTCCCCGATGGGAGTAACAACCGATTCAAACGGCTACCGAAACCATCTCGATCTGGTCATCGCTTGACTCGTGGCAATGTAGATCAAATCTCCCTCTCGCACTGTCCGTTCGTTCGGTCCAGCTTCGCACTCGTCGTTCGATCATCTCATCTGCTGCTCTCGATGCTCCGACCGTAGGTACGATGATCGCTGCTATCCCTTACGTATTGACAATAGACGCATCTCCACTTGTAGTCTAATCCCTTTGTTGGCTGCAGATCAGCTGTAGCAGCGACGGCGATAACTCTCCAGGGTTGTAGTTGTCTGGGGGTCTTACTCTCGTACATCCTCACCCACCCAGAAATTCGCAAAATTTCTGAAAGAAAATTAAAAAATCCTCTTCGGAAGGATTGGGAGTTTGGGAAGGGTATAGGAGCGGGGTTTCACGACAAGATTGCATCAATTTGGTTTTCCTCTTGGCTGTTTGAAAGTGGCAACATGCAAATTTTCTCCACCGGACGTTTGAGTTCTCCTGTGGCTGTCTCCAGGGTCACGACTCTAACTACGTTGTCTTCACCCGGGTGTATAGCGACGATTCTTCCCATTTTCCAGCGCCTTCCTCCCATGCGCATCATCTTTAATAACGACGAGCTTGCCTACTTCAACGGAAACTGCTGGCTTCCATCGCTTGGTCCTAGCTTGCAGTTGACTCAAGTAATCTCGGCGTCACCTAATCCAGAAATGCTGTAATTTTTGCTGCATCCACTGGTAGTGATTCAGTCGATTCGGTGGAATGGTCGTGAATTCAGGGTCGGGGAGGGTCTGCAGCGAAAAACCGACTAAAAAGTGTGCTGGTGTCAAAGGTTCCAAATCGTTTGGATCATCCGACATCGGTGTCAACGGACGGGAATTTAGACAGGCCTCACCTGTGTTAGTAGTGTGGCGAAATCTTCCGATGATGCTGGGGTCTCTCCTATCACCTTAATGAGATGTTTCGTAGCCGACCGAACTGCAGCCTCCCAGAGTCCTCCGAAATGTGGCGCACTTGGTGAATTAAAATGCCACTGAATTCCATCCTTAACCAGTTCGCTTGTGGGAACGATCTTTTAGCAAGCAGTAGAGATCTGCTAGTTTGTTCCGTGCTCCAACGAAGTTCGTACCGTTGTCGGAATTGATGTCCGGACATTTTCCTCTCCGTGAAAAGAACCGTCGCAAGGCTTGCAAAAAACGATCAGTCGAAAGATCGGAGACCAGTTCCAGGTGTACTGCTTTGGTACAGAGGCAAATGAACACCGATACGTAGGCCTTCACAGCAGCTCGTCTGGGGGGGGTGGTCGGATGTATTCACCCAAGAACTGCTGCATTGTGGAAGATTTCGTTCGCAAGCATTTCACGCAATGGTGAACTATCTCCCTTACTACATTTCTTCCACCGAGTGGCCAGAATTGCAATCGCACTGCTCCCAGTAGCAGTTCTGGACCAGCATGTAGTAATCGCTCGTGAAAGCAACGGAGAATCAACCGTGCTGGTAGAACTGGAGGATGCTTGGTGCTCTCCAATTCCTCGGAATTCTTCAGGCGACCTCCTACTCTGATCAGATCCTTGCACACGAACGGGTGAAACCACCTCAACGGGGACTTTCTCGATACAAACTCTCCCCTCGATAAAGCCTTCCATTCCTCTGCGAAGACCTCTCGTTGGGCGCTCCGGAGCACTGCGTTTTCAGCAGCTGCAGCGTTGAAGAATTCATTTGCGGGACGACTTGCTGCTGGTATTCGTAGGAGTTTCATGAGTCGAAGCCAGATCAGAATACGATCCGAACTTGCTGAGATACACTTCGTTGAATTCTGCCACGGGTGATACAGTACACGCAACTACGGTGCGACGCCTCTCTTCCTCTCCTGCTTCTGGGATTTCTTCGACAGCACCAGGCCATGCTTCTGGAGCCTCCTTCAGCCAATTCGGACCTTCCGACCAAAGTTCATTGTCGACGATATCTTCGGGGGACACTCCACGCGATATTAGGTTCGCTGGGTTGTATGTACCAGGCACGTGTCTTCATTGTCATCCCTCCGTTAGCGTTTGAATTTTTGCCACCCTGTTGGCAACGAACGTGGTCCATGTTGCTGATGCAGATTCGATCCAACGCAGCACACATGTTGAATCTATCCAGAAGAAAGTCTGAACCGCTAACCGAGTAGAATCCTTGACCTTTTCGTATAACTGGGCCGATAAGAGCGCACCACAGAGCTCTAATCGTGGGATAGACTGGCAACGGAGTGGAGTCACCTTGGATCGGGATGATAAGAGTCGAACCTTGATTGTTCCGCTGGAATCCTGACTTCTTATGTAGACGCAGCCACCATACGCCTTATTCGAAGCGTCTGAAAAGCAGTGTTTTTCCACGAGTACTGCCTTGCTAGTACACAGCGATCGACTCGAGTTTTATTCAACAATGGGAGTTTTTCGTGAAATTTCCGCCAATTTTCACCCACCATCGAAGGTACTGGTTCTCGTCTTGCAACGTCCAAAGCTGCTGCATGAAGATATTGGCAGACGAAGTCGTGGCACCAATCAATCCAAGCGGATCGAACAGCGTTGCGATTAGTGACAGTATTCGACGTTTCGTCAACAGGACATCAGGTTCTATCGGAGGAACTGTGAACTGGATTCGAAGGGCAAGGGTAATGGGCATTCACGTTAGTCCTAACGTTTTGACGGATTGATCAGAATCCAGGTTGATTCGTTTAGGGTCTCGAAGAGCCAGGTTTTTTTCGGGTACGCCTTCCAGAACTTCGGGAACATTGCAAGCCCACTTTCGGAGCTTGAAACCACCACACAGCATCATCTCGGTCAACTGGTTTCTGAGACTGATAGCTGCATCCACCTCGTCCGTACCGGTGGTGACGTCATCCATATAGACGTCCTCACAAATTGCTCTTGCCGCGAGCGGAAATCGGTCTTCTTCGTCAAATGATACGGACTGGAGCGGTCGATCCTTGAGCCACGTAAGGATTTGTCGGGACATCTTCTCGACGTCCGATACGAGGAGAATCTGCTTCGTCCGACTGCGACTGCGACCTCAAATCTTCCTGCACACCTGGCCCTACCAGAAGCACATAAATAATAAACAAATCGACCCTAGTAGCACGCTTGTCACAAATCGGATGTGGCAACTTCTATACAACTAATATCAGTCATAAACAAGTTGCTCCAACTTATTGTGACGGAAATGTGCTACTCGGGGAGTTTACACGGCTACACTAGCAAGGTTATATTAGTGAGATCTTGAGGCGAGAAGTCAATTGCGAACAGTGAGATATACGTCACTGCCAACAGCTGTTTCGTGTAAAAAAGATAAAGATTGCAATGAAATACGAACACCACTAAACATTTGCACATTTCACTTACACCAATAAGCCTGTTGGCTTGGACCTTATATAAATAAATGTTTGCATGCATAGATATTAGATATTAACGACGTTTAACGCACGCACACTAGCGGATACATCGCCGTGTAAAGTTGTTTATTATTTTCCTCTGACTAACCTAAAAAATGTATGAAGTTAGATCTATCAAAATGAGTTTGACCGCTATTTGTTATGTATTTTCCTCGGATTTTAGTGTTAGTGCTCTCACATATCGCACCAATACAACCGGAGGTGAAAATCTCTATGGATGTTTACATCACGATTGATTTCTGACGCAAATGATCAATCTTTAATGTAAATTTCGCGAATATACACGAGGATCATTGATTATAGCAAAACTTGCCATATGCAATCGTCATAGCTCTTTTTAGTACACAACTTGTTCCTTGTGTGGCACCTTTCTAGCGAACTAGCATCGCCGGCTAGCTGAGCTGAGATTATTCTGTAAAACAAATCTATGCTATCTGAGGCATAATCCAACTCATGGCAAAGTAATCAAACCATGTGATCCCATCTACCCTACTTTTCACATTGCAAGCCAATGTCTAATATTTCAACTTATTTTCATTTTCTTTTAGAACCGCCTTTAATGTTGGGACTGACGAACGAGTTTAATCATACCACAAGATTAAAATTTGATAAATGCAATGTTGATGTAGCTTACTTTTTATTATATTTTAAATAAACAACTACAACGAAGTCAAGCAAATGTAGTGCAGTAAATTTATACCATAACAAGAATGTCTTTCTGCGTTATTTATATCTTCATCTGAAAAAAAAAAAACAAAAATTATGTCAGGTACCCTACAGCTGCTGCGCTGTTAAAAGGTGTAGCCTTTCCACGAACGAAGTCAGGAACAGCCTTTCTAGCATGAAGCCACTTCCGATGCATCTTTCAACAACACACCCATAGCATTCCCTTTAGGGCCAATCAAGATGAAAAAATAGATCCCATCCCATCCCATCCCATCCCTCCGCATCCTGTTCCATCTTCAACGGTATTCTATAAATATTAGCAAAAGCGCCGTCAACTCCAGGATTCTGAAAAATTCACCACAGCATTTTCTATATTCTTGCTTCCCAGCCCATCCATCGTGTCAAGGCAGTTTCTTCTTCTAACCAGTGTGTTCCGTTATTTTATTGCAGGCGCTCTTCCTATGGTAACGGCAACGGTATACTGCCTGAACTGGCCCCTCAAGTGGCTTATCATCATATCGTACTCGCTGTTGTGCATTTGGGGTCTGTTCAAGGTAAGTTTACTCTCCTACCGGAGAAGATGAACCACTTGAACTTCTCACCTTTATCTTGTTCTCTATTCATTTCTCCTCCTGCAATCACATAGGCCATGACGGCATCTTCACCGTGGCAGCGCCGACTTTGTTTTTTGCTGCCGTTCATGATGCGGATCGTGCTCACGTTTCTCCGGATATCCAAGCTGGGCGGGGGGAATCCCGCCTCGCTGACACACGTATTCCTGCAGGTAGGTTCCAATAAAAATCACTGCCAAAAAAGATGCTCCCCGCACGCGCTTCGGGGGAGCGGGAGCAACGTCTATTATTCATGTGTTTACCTACGTGTGCTATGTTTTGAATCGTCCAAACGTCGGTTTGGATGGCTATCGGAATCGATTATCGGCCGTACGAATAAATAATACATTGGGTGGAAAAGGGCATTATGAATTTATGACGGCGACGTCGGTGTTGATCCACCATGGAGTGGAGAGTGAAATTGATATAATAGTGTTTGTGAGAAGGGGAAGAGAGGGATGATAACAGGAGCGTGTCGATGGCAGGACGACTATGGACCGTGGGTGCTATCAACAGAATGCCTAATTCAAGGGTGAGTTTTCAAATAGCCGTATCTGCTTCGGTAAACAATGATTGAAACGTCAATTTGCCGAGACTCTTAGCTCGCCCACACGCAAACTAACACCACTATAATGTCGGGGAAACTTCACCCTATCTGATGGTGGTGTTAGTTTGCGTGGGTGAGCAAAGATACGGCTATTTGAAAATTCACTCTTGAATTATCAGTTTTCTATGTTCGATGGCTGTCATGCAATGGTTATTACGTGACTTCAGTAATTATTGTTTTTGTTTTCAGTGGTCAACTTCCGGGTGGCGTGGGTGTTACTGGAAGGCTCACGCACACAGCTTTGAGAGCTTAGTCGATGTGTCTCTGAGTGGGCTCAATTTAAGTTTTTTATTACCTTTCTGCACCTGATGAGGTGATGGGTGTTGTTCAAATGCTCAGGAGCGTAATTGACTGAGAGAAAATCGATTTTAGATAATGTTCTAGAATATCTGTAAGTGTAAGGGAAGAATCGATTTAAGAAGGGACTACCACCAAAAACGTTCGAATTTAAAAATAATAATAATGGGTATATCAATGTTTAACGCACCAGCAACTTTAAACATTGCTCACTAGTCACAAGCGTGGGTAAAGTTTGCATGGCGGATCATATCGCCCTGTTCCCGCAGCTTTATGGGTATTTAGGTTCTCAGCAAATGTGCCAAATTTGAATGAATTGGTTTTCAAGTTGCATTTATATAGATTGCAAAAAAGACCCAAGGGGCATAAATTCATCCAAATCTCCAAATCATCTTCATGGTGACCAGTAAATCTCGATTAGCAATTTTCCCGTTTTTCTCCCGGAATGTTGGAAATTATCGCGGTTTAGGTATTTTAATTAAGCACAAAACTGAAAGCGATGAAGCCGAAGGTTAAATGGGTAATTTCTAAGACAGCAGCACCTCTGCTGGATCTTGAATTTGGATCTGCGACAGGTTCGAAGTCTTCACAATTTGTGTACGAACATTTCGTTCAAAACTTTACAGGCTTTTATTTGATTGTTCTCAAGCCTTTCCTTTAGATTAATTTCCTTTCACAGAGATCTCTCCAGATTTTTTTCTCTGGAAATCCCTTGAAATTTTTTATATAATAGTACAGAAATTCTCTGTAGAAAACTCTAAAAAAAAATCTTGAAATTCATCCTTTCTTCGAATTTTAAGTTCTTTCTAAGAATTCACTGGAGCTTCATTTTTTTTAAATTTGCATGCACGTAGAATTCACCTCAGACCAACAATTGAAAGGGGTCTATTAGCTTTTGTGAGCAAAAAATGTAATCCCCCTTCCCTGCCTTCCCGCCGGGAATTGTCTTCAAGTTTTGCTCAGAATTATCTTGGAATGCTCCTTTAAATTCTTCTGAACATTGCATGGAATTTTCATTAACATTCTCTAGAAATTCCTTTCGAGATGCGCTTGGAATATGCTCGGACTATCCTTATAGATCTTCGCATAATTATTTTGGAATCGTACCCTCAAAATTCGCGTATTCCTGGAATCCTCTTCACTCTTGGGAGATCTCTCCTAGAGGTTTTCTCAAAGCTACCTAGAAACCAGGCTCAACTTTTCAAGCCAATTGAATTCAGCTGAGTTGATCAATGACTTGCCTTATCTAAGCCCAGCTTAACTCTTAATCATTCTTGCATTTACTCAAAACCGCTCCAATGCGGTTAAGGGATTGGTTTTTGTTGGACACAGCTTTTAAGAGACGCACATTCCCATTAACAGCTTAATTTTGCAACAACGAACAACGTCTAGCGTCTCTACGGAACTGAATTTTTATCTCGTTTCAACTCAGTAATGTGACAACACCCAGTGGGAGCTGAATTTATAATAGGCTCAAAATCATCCAAATACCCTTTTATTTGAGTATCTTTTGCTCCACTTGCAAAACTGCAATATCAAGAGTTGAACAATCACACTTTCGCAACTCTATTTAAAATTTGAAATTGAAAACCATCCTCAAACTACAACGAGTAATTAAGTTGTTTGAAACTAGTGACGTCAGCCATACTTATTAATATGTTTCTGTCATAAAGAAATATTTCCCTGACTTTGAATGAAATTCCCTGACAATCCCTGATTTTCCAGGTCCAAAAAGATATTCCCTGATTTTCCAGGTTTTCCAGGTAGTCGATACCCTGGTTTGGTTTTCAATAAGTAGGTGCTTAGTATAACATTAATTGAAAATTAGGGGAAATTATTTAAGGAATTTCAACCACACACTTAAATTTTTTGACGTAGGATTATGTCTTTTGGCAACATATTGGGGGTGCAATTAAAAAAAAACCCCAAAATCGACCGCATTACGAAAAGAGGTTAGGTTTTGACTACATATAAGTCTGTCCATAGCAGATGGATTATCATTCTAAACAAGCCAAACGATTGGAAATTTATCTACCAATCTGCTAAAATGAATACGTTATTAATTTTCAATAGGTCACTATTGACAAGTACAAAAATGTCCAACTGATGTAATAGTGATCAAAATTATCACCGATTGGCTGCGAACAGCGCATTCCCTAACACAGATTTAAATATCGAATTCGATCCTGTCTCACTGAACGGTGCTCATTCAATCACCGTGTGTGGTGGTGTCCGGTCGTCGGTGTCAGCAGCAGCAGCATCAGTAGCAGCAGTGCTTTCCGCGTGTGGCGTTGAACATTGTTCTCCAGTACACAACGAAAGGCAGCCTGCAAGCAGCGAGCTGCAGAACCCACATAAGCATCCATAGAAGGAAAAAGAAGCTGACCACTATGGATCAAAATCAGTTTCTTCGTGAGTCGCTGTGGGTCATCTATGCCAAACGTGTCACCCTTGCTCTAAACAACATACAGCTTGCCAGCCTCATCCCTGTTGAACACCCTAATAGGATGTCAGTTCTCATATCAAGACCAACAATTGAAATGTCCTTAGCTCCATTTTGTAAACAAACCTTGTAAGGCCATTTTCTCGCGAACCGAAGTCCGCAAAGGCAAACCAATATAATGAACAGGTAGGGAAAATTCTCCTCTACCCGATTGTGGTTCACGAATGAAGATTTCGATTCGCGAGAAAATGGTCTTACAAGGTTTGTTTACAAATTGGAGTTAAGGCCATTACAATTGTTGGTCTTAATATGTTAAAATTTAACATACCATATATTTTTAAGGCAACATTGGCAGTGCAATTTCAGAATCCATAGTCGGTCAAGCCATGGAAGTGGTCAGGTTTTGATCCAGAAATGATGGATTTTAATTCTGAATACGTAAATCGATAGGAAATTTTTCTACGAATCTGTTAAAATTAAGGATTTATCATTTTTTCAAAATGTCACTATTGCAAATTGCACAAATGTGCAAGTGTTGCTATGCTCATAAAATGGTCACCGGTTGCCTGTGAAAAGCGCTTTCCCTAACACAGATTTCAAAATTGAATTCCATCGGGTCTCAACAAACGCTGTTCATTCAGTGGGGGTGTTCTCTAGTACACACCGAAAGGCTCCCCGCAAGCAGCTTACTATCAAGGCTGCCTTCAACCCTCAACCGCTGATCGGATTCAATTGCTCGTCGTGATTCTGTGATTGATGTGTTTTCCCTAATACATATTTCATTTCCGCACCGCTATCATCTCCAAGAACATCGAGGACACATTTCAACAGTATTGTTCTAAACTGACCGCCAAGCTTCCAATCCATCGGTCTTTTCAGGACCACAAATGACTTATAAAAGAGTTAACTAAAGAGTAAGAGATTGTATCCAAGACATACCGTCCAGGATTGGCTTATACTACATGGACATCGACAGAGCACCTCACAAACAGAACTCTCAAATTGCTTCCGAATTTCAACCCATCGAACTTTTTCTAACGAGTTAATACGTCGGAGACGAGCCAGCCAACGGCTGAAAGTCTCCTTAATAAAGATATATAAAAAAAAAATAACGAGTTAATAAATCAATTTAATATATACTATACTTTTGCTGTGACATCAAAACATTCGTAATCCTACGTCAAATCTACGGTCGTGTCTTGGATACAACCTCTTACTTTTTTGCTGAGATTGGCACCACCGAGCAGCTCAGTATTTTATTTTGCTGGATCTCAGTGAAAAACTTCCCGAGATTCAGCTAAGAAGCGGGAATTTTGCTGAGATCTCAACTAACAAGTAGAACAAGCTGAGATCTTAGTAAAAAATAAATGTCGAGCTGCTCGGTGATGCCAACCTCGGCCTGCTTTATGAAAAATAATGTTGACACACAATAATAAAACGGAGCAGACTGGAACCTAACCATGGACGTTGAGTGTTTTATTCAACCTCAAACACGGGTTCCACGTTTTATAATTATTTTTTAAGCGAATATTTAGAACGTTTACAGATAGCGAGCTGCGCTCTTTTTCTACTCTACCTCGAATCCCTGTGTCTGTGTGTTGGTGTCGGCAACGTCAGTGGGAATGATGATACGGGGGGTCGCCACATATTGCAACATCTTCCCTACAACGAAAATTAAAGCTCCAACTGATAATCCTTCAAACGTTCCGGCAAGCGTGTTTTCCTTCTTGGCCGCTCCACTTGGTTCGGCATTCCATTTGCTTGCAAAACACGTGGTGATGAACTTGACAACGTATTTTGCGATTCTGTCATAGTAGGCACGGTGT